TTGTATATTACATTCAAGCATATCCCATAAAGCGGAGTACATTTGTATGTATAGTTAATACAAGTACATGTCATTAAACAGAGTACATTATTATGTATATATCACATAAATACTTGTACATCAAATTGAATAGAGTATATTGTTATGTAACATTAATATTAGAAAATTGAATTAAAGTAAATGATTATTTCTACACTATGCGAGAACATTATTTTATAAAATATACTACCCAGTAAATGGCAGATAGTCATCTTCCATTATCAAAGTGAGTATTAGCCTGTCACTCCAAGAACACAGCAGTATTCGTGCACCAAAACTGGTACATACTAGTACTGATGCTAAAACAGTTTATCGTGTATAAAGGAAGAACAAGGCCATCGTTTGAATAATTTTCATTACTTGTTGCCTGATGTGCATGCTTGTCTGTGTTCTTTGGAGGTCGTGCCAAGCAAAATACATTTTTATTAGTTTTTATGAATTTGAATTATCCGTTTCCATCGTCCTTGTCTACCGTGTTCACACGTCTGTATTGCCAGTAGTGTAACAACTTCACCGTAAGCGTCCAAGGTCAACAAGGTCAGTTCATAAGCTATCAGTCGCCCATCTCCACACAGCCGGGAGGCCTCAATGTATATACTTATATAATGAATATACAATCTATCTAAAGGAGGAATAAAGCCAATCCTGTAGGTGTATTATAGTCCCTCTTATCGAATATCCAACGGAGGATTTCTCACACGTGATTGGCGCTGTTTGATAGTTAGAGTGGCGGGATACATGGTTTGATACTGGGATGGAGGAATAATTTAGACATATTTTAGGGGTTTCGGATTGTATTTTAAGGATTGCTAGAAGAGGTTGAAGGAGATTTTTTGATGATATCGATAGGGAAATAGCGTAGTGGGTTCTAAAGTAGAGATATGGAAGAGTGGTGTAATGGTTAACAGATAAGAAGTGTAAAGACACTACAGACGGTTCCCTTTGGAAGAACAGATGTAGAGATGGGAGTCTATATATGAATTACGAGAGTCATCAACACCATTTTCATATTCTACCATTTTTACACCCATCTATTTGTCCCGTTTAGTATTCTACACATCAGTTGCTGTATGTAAATATCTTTTCATACATTTATACCTATAAATATTAAAAAGACAGTCCACATCTCTTTAAATATTCTTTCCAATCACCTACCAGCTATAAGTATTCTACTTTCCACTGAATATTCAATGCATTTTCATTGCAGCCGCTTGTTCATAGTAAGCTCGTCCTTTCATATGTTTCCTGTGAATATTTTGTATATCTTTTTGGTTCGTTTTCTATTCTACTGAATCTCCTGTCACCTTTTAATGGTCTATCCATCATTTTGCCCCCCTTGTCAATGGTCTACCCATTTTCCTGACGAATACATATCTTACCCGTGCTTCTCTCACTAGCTTCTCCAACTCCATACAAAACGTTAGGTGCAGGAACCGAGATTTATCTCAAACGAAACACTGAATGTGAAATCATGCGATTCGAATATGGTAATGATTTCCTGCCCCATATGTGGTTACTACTATAATAGTTGTGGTCCAGTTGCGGAAATGCATGCATGCTACTTACCATGCATAAACCATTCTACTATTTGCCTTTATATATATGACATGTCTATCTCACACCTGTGGTACATACTTTCTCAATTATATACCACCTCTACGTACATCTATGATATCAAAGATAGTTCCAAATAAAAGAAGCCATTGTGCTGTATTCTGTCTTTAATTTACGTGTTCGGCTATAGAATCAGTGAAGGTAATGCATTAGTACATCTAAAAACTCCTGATAAATTTCATACATTAGGCTGTTTGTCGTTACATAAACATGTTAACCTTTGTTCATGTTACATATCATATCCTATTAAATCACTCAATTGAATGACATTACTAGCATTGCATCAATAATTTTAAAAAAAATCACAAATGTAGATTCTAGAGAATAGCCTGCCGCATGTGGCCTATATTATGCCATTGAGAAATGAGAAATGGTTCAGCATCGTCCGAGTTCGTTTTAATCTAAGCAGCTTTAATGTTCAACGAGTCCTTGGTTCTTTCTCGTAAATGTTTTATTTGAATGATTGTCCTATCTGTTGAATCTCTCACGTGATCATCAACGACACGCAATAATGATCAATGTATGGAGCTAATGCATGTTATATGTCCTTTCATATAGTTCGCAAACATCATTCAGAAAAATAATTATATTTTCGTGAAGTTTGCTTTGTTTTGTTTATGTTTAACGGCAGTAGTCGATGGGTCGTTAAACATTTATCACAAAAACATTAATCACGGTAATAAAATTAGAGTATGCAATTAGGTTATTACGACAACTTTGTACAACAACCCTTCCGTAATGCTTTTTTGTCATAGTTACAAAACTAAACATTATCTAAGGCAGTTATGTAATCCTAAATGTACTGATATACTTTGTATACAAGTGAGTATTTAACGGTGTAATTTTACACAACAACCTATTTTTGTTGTTGTTTTGACTTTTCAGTTGTTAAGTTTTCTACAACAAATAGTCCTTTCTGCAAACTAGCCTATTGGTAACTGCCACACAGGAGATAGAGTTACAGTGATACTGAATATCAAGTCATTTAAAGCTACTCTCGCACCTAATGGGTTAGATAGACACCTTATCTCACGCGTTACTTAAACTATTTCCTGTAAGCCTGCCTTTGTGCATGTCAAAAGTACCCAGATTGGATCTTCAATAACGTATATACGAGTCGAAGAACTTCTATTTTAAAATTGCCCCCCTGAAACCTAATGTACAGAGATTGTGCTCGATCGATTTTTCTGTATCTTAGCACATTTCTTTCAAACACTTCGCCCTGAAATTTGAAATGCTTCATTATCTAGAAAGAGATGTCGAGCTTCTTGTGTTGAAGGCATATTCGGTATGAAATTAGAATGTCTGAGTTCATGTCAGCTACGTTTACTAAACTATTTTGGTTTAAATACCTTTGTCACAGATAAACAATTTTGTCTAGTTGACTTTGTATACCCCATAATTGTTCATGTTGTGGGCAGTGCTTGTATATAGTATCATTACAGCACTGTGTAGTAGCTATGCATGTGTACGATTATCGGAACAATCACAAGAACAAGCGTATGAGGTGATATCTGCAAAGTGGGGATGTATAGTTCAAATGAATTACAATGACCATTCAAAATAATCTCACTTTTTTCTATTCTGTGTGATTCGTTTTTATGCTGTGGCTTACGAGATTTTGAACTTCTGTGAACAGCTGATTGTTTATAAATGCAGTCGTTTTAATTTATCAGGTGTTTGCCTCTGTTTTTGTACGTTATTCTCCTGTCGTCACGTTTTACATTGTGCCATCGGGGATGTCATACCTTTGGATGTTAAAGTCGGGGATGTCATACCTTTGGGTTGTTTAGATCAGGAATGTGATACCTTTGGGTTGTTAAAGTCACGGAATGTCATATCTTTGGGTTGTTTATATAAGGGATGTCATATCTTTTGGTTGTTTACATCAGGAATGTCATACCTTTGGGTTGTGTACATCAGGGATGTCATACCTTTGGGATGATAAAGTCGGGGATGTCATACGATTGGGTTGTTTAAGTCAGGGATGTCATTCCTTTGGGTTGTTTACATCAGGAATGTCATACCTTTGGGTTGTTTACATCAGGCATGTCATACCTTTGGGTTGTGTACATCAGGGATGTCATCCCTTTGGGTTGTTTACATCAGGGATGTCATTCCTTTGGGTTGTTTACATCAGGGATGTCATACCTTTGGGTTGTGTACATCAGGGATGTCATCCCTTTGGGTTGTTTACATCAGGGATGTCATTCCTTTGGGTTGTTTACATCAGGGATCTCATACCTTTGGGTTGTTTACATCAGGGATGTCATACCTTTGGGTTGTTAAAGTCGGGGATGTCATACGATTGGGTTGTTTACATCAGGTATGTCATACCTTTGGGTTGTTTACATCAGGTATGTCATACCTTTGGGTTGTGTACATCAGGGATGTCATACCTTTGGGTTGTGTACATCAGGGATGTCATACCTTTGGGCTGTTTACATCAGGGATGTCATACCTTTGGGCTGTTTACATCAGGGATGTCATACCTTTGGGTTGTTAAAGTCGGGGATGTCATACGATTGGGTTGTTTAAGTCAGGGATGTCATTCCTTTGGGTTGTTTAAGTCAGGGATGTCATCCCTTTGGGTTGTTACAGTCGGGGATGTCATACCTTTGGGTTGTTACAGTCGGGGATGTCATACATTTGGGTTGGTAAAGTCAGGGATGTCATACCTTTGGGTTGTTAAAGTCGGGGATGTCATACGATTGGGTTGTTTAAGTCAGGGATGTCATACCTTTGGGATGTTTACATCAGGGATGTCATACCATTGTTGGTGGGGTTTTTTTTATATCAGGGGGTTATTATTACATTTGTGTTTATTGTGAGTTTTCCCTCTGTTGCTATAGGTTCCATAATCTGATATTCATTGTGTATTGCATGTTTTTTACACTATAATTTATCTTCGTGATTTTCGTATATGCTCTTATTTTACAAAACGTTGCACAGTTGCTCCCCTGAATAGCTTACGACTTGTGACTTCATATTCGTGTCTTTTGTAACCATGTGGTCTTTTATCTACCTCAGTGCCTTACGTGTGAAGTTCTCTAAGATCGATTTGTACTGCCATTGTAACGTTAATTTACGATCTTTGAACGTTATTTCCTGCATTGTAGAAAGAATTTGTGTTTAACGCGCCATTTTAACTATTGTCTTTAAAGTTATCGAGGTTAGTCTAGCACCTATTACCTTCATTACGTGGTTTTAAAACCTAAAAATGCCTCGTTATAATTTGTTCGTGTTTCTCGGACTTTGTCCGGGCTTATAACATTACCTTTGTGTTTACTTTTATGTTTTTTCTGTCTTTTTACCTTATTTCTTCCTGCCGGTATTTGTATGCTTACCTTTATGGTTTTCTGGGTTAGTTCGTATCGCTGTCGCCTCCAGATCCGGGTTCCACACTTTCCCGGGGGTAAGGGATGGGAACTCGAGGGTCTTAGATCTCTCAATGAATGGACCGGTAAACTCCATATCTCTGCTTTTTCTGTTGTAAGATGACCTATTCCTAAACACTCTCATTTCTGGTTCACTCTCGTGTGCTGACTTCCGTTTATGACGTTGTCGACACGCCTTCGCTCGCTTCCGGTTTACAATGACAATACTCAGTCTGTTTCCTAACATGTTCTTTGTCAGGTCCACAGATTCTGATGAAGAGCTGTCTGCTGCACTCTCACCTACCGGGTTAAAATTTGATACATTTGTTCCTTTTATAGATAAAAGTGGATTTTCTGTATGTAATTTTGGTATGCTAGCTACCATAGGAGTCACATGAGGAATCGTTTCGATCACTTCCGGTGAACTGACGGAATCACTTCCGGCGGAGGCATTTTCTGATGTAACGATTTCGATGGTACTTTTCGTTGTGTTTGCTGGGGCAAGACGGAATAAGCTAGATGACAACGCCTCTTCGTTTGATCCTGTAATCTTAAGAGCAGGAAAGTCACTTTGTTTCCGAGACAGAGTTCGGGCTGATCCCTCAAGTGTGTAATTGGGTGGTGATTTTAGCCTATGCTTCGGTAACGATTTGCTAGCTTTTGCACTAGGAAATGCGTTCCTTGGTTCGTTTGGCGTCATCTTGGTTTGCAACACCTTTTTGTGATCTTCGACATCTATTGATATGTCTGGTAGAGTCACTATGATTTTTCGTTTGTTTTGAGGCGAGGAGGAAGAAACCTCGGAACTGTCATCGCCAAATCTCATACTGTCGTGCGACGCTAGACTAGGAAGCGGAGCACGTGATCCCCAAGTGTCCTCCCTCTGTAACGCGGACTCGGTGTTCGGAACGGCGTTCGACGGAGGAACAGGGTGGTTTGGGTTTGCGACGTTGGTAGGTATAGACGTGGTGCTTCGGGCAAATGTAACATTGGGTTTTGGCTTTTCGTAGGTTGCGGATATGAACGTAATGGCTTTGTTTACGTCTGCTGGTGCCGAACGTTGTACGAGTTTGTCAGAGACCTTTGCCGCAACTGTTGAAGATTTAACTAGCCCTTTAGTTGGTGAAGGGCTTTTAGCAACAACCGTATCTGTAGATATTGTGACAAAATGAAGTGGAGTTTCAGCGGATGACGTCAAAACTACCGATGTCGACGTCACAGTTTCTGGTGCCGATGGGATCTGTGAGACTGACGTTGCTACCGGTGTAGACGTCGATCTGGGACCTGTCAGTGAGGAAACTTCTGTGGCCGTCGCAGCAACGTCTAGGGCTAACGAATTGGTCCCTATTGAAGTCGCAGCACCTGATGTTGCTCTAGATTTAATGTCTTGTACATTCACATTTTCTTCCACGTCGACATTATTTTCCTCATCTGTATCTAAGATGTAAGGGTCGGCTAGCACAGTGATATTGTCGGTAGATGGCGAGTTAAACCGCCTTTCCCCTTTTTCGGGGGAAGCGACGGTCTCAACTGAATCGTCTAGAGTGTGAACCAGGGCCTTCTCTATCTCCCCTGCACTAACCTGGCCCTCTATAGTCCATTCTGTATACGGGATTGTATAAAACATGTCTCCTTTCGGGATGTCATTGTAAGCACCTGTTGTTAGTGGACCATAGTCCCAGGCTTGTTTGGGTTTCACGTCCATGTGCAGACGAATGGGCCTTTGATTCTTGACATTGGCTTTGAATTTCTCCATTACTTTATTCACTAGAAGTTTCAACCTTTTCCGTTGTAGATATTTACGTGTGGGTCTGGATTTTTCAATGCTTTCTTCCTGGTCCATTGTGGCACTTTTATTGTATCGTGGCTCTGCCGGATCTTCGAATGCCAAAGAACGTTTAGACACACCGCCATTCTCAATTTCCCTTTTATTAAAGCTGTCTAACAACTGGCTATTGTTCCCTATTTCCTCTACGTCAGACTCCGACTCACCTACATCTGAGACGTTATCGACACCATTAGGTAGAGAGTTGGATTCTCCTATATCCGAACTGTTTTCAATTATATGTAGTTGCTGAGTGTCCGGGTTCTCGTTCCGGGTAAGGATGGTCGATGTGTTGATGTAGTGTCCGGGTATAGAGGAGGTGTTGTTGGGAGACGGTGGTAGGCCCTCTCTGGGAGGTAAAGCACCCGGCTCCGTCACTTCACTCATATTTCAAAACACGCACCTGTCATTTACACATTAAAACAGCTGAAAAATACCGGCCCTCTTAAAATCACAATCGATCTGTGAGACAATCCTGTTGTTCTCATACGAATGGGTTGTACATGATTCCAGGCCCGATATCATTATAGATGATTAAAAAGCATTCCCTGAGATTTTTAAATGGTAAAACTTCCTAAACAAACCCTGTCCATCGCTTGTGAATTTCTCCAGCACTATGTTTAAATACCAGTCTGCTACTTCCGAGCTCACATGGTAAAATAACACTGCAATAGATTATTGTCATGGAAGGGTTTCCATCATGATCGGTCTGCTCACACAAAGGAACCTACAACAACACCGCTTTCAGCACTACAAGGCGGCAATCACTCGGAAGAGCAAGTCTTTTGAGCGTTTTGCACCTCATTGTGTGCTGGCAGGTTCATAGGCTATGTGATCATGTGTCTGTGGACTGGGCAGATTTGTGTGTATATATACATATGTGTTAGGGTATATTGAATGACGGGCAGTAACACAAGACAACACATAAAAGACATATAAGGAGATTTAATTTAGATAATTATCGATTTGACAAAATGTTGTAAAACCGCCATTATATCTTTGATTATATTATGTCGTACATGTACATATATTGTATGTAGGTGGCCATGTTTGTACGCTATTAATCCTATACAGTCGTGCGCTCGCTCAATGGTCCAACTGTGACGATGTGTGTGTACTGATCACTCTCTACTGTATTTGTTTACAAATTAGTTTTATTTATCTACTTAATGCTTATATGGAGGTCACCTGTACAATAGGAGTCACTTTTACCGCCCGGTTAAAAGTTGGTCATTATGTTACACAATAATTACCTTGTGAATAATTCAATCCGCTATACGAGTTATATGAGATACATAGATATATTTCCGTGGCAAAGATAATTAATAAAGAATAAGCGTTTTCGGCTCCATCCTAAAAGCTGCAGTCAACCTGTAATAGAACTGTTCAGCAAGTCCTAAAGATATGATTTGAATATCTTCGTTATTTGACATTGAACGTCTCGTGTCAGATAGTACTGAGGTTAACAACCTATACACAGGTAAATATGTCGGACTTTTACAATATTTACAACTACGCTTTATATAGAATTTACCGGCGTCAAGTTGCTGTATCGAATGGCATTTGTTTCATTTTGGTGAAAGTGACTTCACTGACCGTCACAGATTTCTGATCGATTGAACACCCGTTAGTGTTTACTTGTCCATGGCTCCTTCGGCGTATATTTTTCTGACATCCCGTAGTGATTAGTTATATTCTAACCATTAATTCATCTACCGGTTTCTCTCGCCTGTATACGATTAAGTTATGGATAACTGACCGATGTATGGACGACTAGATGGAATCGGGGAAAAAACTTGTTTGCCTGGGTGAAATTTATCAAAAGTTATAAGCGCTATCAAAGAGAATGATGACCTGTTAAGTCGGGTCTGAACAACTCAAAAACAAGTTGTGTTAACATTCAAATAGAAAATAAAGCTATCGCACTAGTAGATTCTATATTCAAACTTAGGAGATGAGATGTTTGCTTGATTGATTGGGGTAACAATAGTATAAACCATACAAAAACACATGGAATAGATAAATAAGGATTTGACTCATAGCTTATGTAAGTAATCTCCCTTTGTTTGGTAATTTTATTGAACATTATAAATATGATCAGTTGGTTTAACAAGAGGCCCAATGGGCCTGCATCGCTAACCTGATATTAATCTCACACTTGTTATCTTAAAAGTGGACTAAAATACAGCTACAGGCAGAACAACAGTGTTTGATTCATAAGAATCTATTAAAAGATTTAAACATATGACGCCTGTGACCTTGAATGTCGAACAAGGACATTAGGTTAAACAGAGTTAATAGTCTTCCAACCCAGCATGCTTCTGGCAAAATATCATTACCCTGGTCCTTTTGGTTATACAGAACAAATCATTTAAAGATTTAAACATATATTGACCACTGTGACCTTGAATTTGGGCGAAGGTCATCCACTTGGTAGTCCTTCATCCCAGCATGTTAATGGCCAAATATCATCACCCTTGGCCTTTTGCTTATTAAGAAGAAGTCATTCAAGGTTTTTTTTAACATATTTGACACTTGTGACCTTGCATATATATGTCAAGGTCATTCATTTGAACAAACTTGGTAGTCCTTCATCCCAGCATGTTACTGGCATTATCCTATGCCTCTTGGTTATTCAGAAGAAGTTGTTTAAAGGTTTAAAACATATTTGACCCCTTGTGACCTTGAAAAAAGATATAGATAATTCATTTGAACAAACTTCGTAGCCCTTCATCCCAGCATGCTACTAGCCAAATATCATCACCCTAGGCCTATTGGTTATTCAGAAGAAGTTGTTTAAAGGTTTTAAACATATTTGCCCTATGTGACCTTTAATATAAGTCAAGGTCATTTATTTGAACAAACTTGGTAGCCCTTCATTATAGCATGTTACTGGCCAAATATCATCATCCTATGCCTCTTGGTTTTTACATATTTGACCCCTGTGACCTTGAAAATGGATGAAGGTCATTTATTCGAACAAACTTGGTAGCCCTTCATCATAGCATGTTACTGGCCAAATATCATCACCCTAGGCCTCTTGGTTATTCAGAAGAAATTGTTTAAGGGTTTTAATCATATTTGACCCCTGTGACCTTGAATATAAATCAAGGTCATTCATTTAAAAAAACTTGGTAGCCCTTCATCCCAGCATGTTACTGGCCAAATATCATTAGCCTAGGCCTCTCGATTATTCAGAAAAAGTTGTTTAAAGGTTTTAAACATATTTGACCCCTGTAACCTTGAATATAAGGCAAGGTCATTTATTTGAACAAACTTGGTAGTCCTTCATTTCAGCATGTTACTGGCCAAATATCATCCTAGGCCTCTTGGCTATTTAGAAGAAGTTGTTTAAAGATTTTAACATATTTGACCCCTGTGACCTTGAACATTGATGAAGGTCATTTATTTGAACAAAGTTGGTAGCCCTTCATCCATGCATGCTTCTGGCCAAATAGAATCACCCTAGGCCTTTTGGTTACTGAGAAGAAGTTGTTTAAAGCAAAAAGTTGACGCCGGACGGACGCCGGACGGACGGACAGACGACGGACGGACGACGGACGACGGACGCCGCACCATGCCATAAGCTCACTTGGCCTTTGGGCCAAGTGAACTAATAAACGGATAGTTAAACAAACGTATTACATAATCGCTATGTCGGTTAACAGTGCATGATATTTGAATCTGTAACGCAAATCATGGGTGTAATGAAATGTAGAGCGGTATAAAATGACGAGACGAAATGCAGTTTTCTTTTTTTTAACTAATGATAAAGTGGTCGCGTAGCGTTAGGAAGCTGAATATTTAATTACTTCTTAAACCTAGTGAAGTTTTAACTTTGATGTGTTGATAAAAACAACTTCATGGCTATCTTAAGCTGTAAATTGCCTTTGAAAATTGATAAGCAACAGGATTAGTTTTGATGTAACATGCTGGTATACAGGGGTTACACGTTTATGCACACCTATACGGTCTCAATATCGCCTTAGTCAGGATAGCTATCTCCAATTAACAGTCCAGCATGATATGAATCAACGTGGTATATTTCATAATTACATACCTGCCAATTAAACACGTGCTTCGTTTATGTTTCTATCTAAATTTAGCTAGAACACACAAATGTTGATTCTATATCATGCTGGCATTTTTTTTCCTACATATATACACATTCAGTTCCATATTGATTCTGTATCTACGTCATATTGGATAGTCTAGGCGCAGACTAAGTATCTCAATTATGATATTTGTGGATTTAAGTATGTTATCGAACAGGTGTAGAGTTCAGTGTTAACATTCAGGGACATAGCTAACATTAGTTTTGTGTGTACATTTTAGGATCTATAAAATCAGATAGACGTTATATCTAAGAAATATTACCGTTAGTTTATATGGACCATGGTATTTTCGTGTATAAATGCAGGGAGTTATTTTATACTAAATTAGTGATCACCCCAATGTTCATACACGACGATTGACAAGATATCAACACTGTAGGTGTTTAATGTCGATAAACTCCAGACTTAAGTATTAGAGTATTGTGCGTTGTAGCATAGGAACCTGTTAATTTGTTACAGCTATAGTTAGACCTAAACTAAGGTGTTCAGAGACATTTTACACGATTTAGGGGTTAAGATCAACCGACACTTTAATTTAAGTCTGAATATAGCTGCAACGAATTATCAGGTCCCTGTGCGTTATAGTTCTCGTTGTTCTGTATTAAAACAGAAATATAAAAACGAGGAGGGGATTATGGGAATATTTGGCGGGGATCGCCGTCTCATAATCCATAATCGCCACCATATATACGTGGTGGCGGATCTGAAGGGACAGGATTCCAAGACAACAGCCTAATTACTTTAAGAGGGAAAGAGAAAAACGCGGCTTTCGATACGTTTCTTTACCCGGTATTATTTCCACCATCAAAGACTCCGACGCTCTCCGATAAGGGTTCCGACCGTAGACCGAGGTCTTTTACGCACGGGTCATTGCAAACTATAGTTACACATTTACGTGTCGTATATTGTTTTGTCGTTATTGTACTATTAACCCCGACAGACTGATATTGTGGCGTCGTGAAATAGTCGACCATGATCATGTTTTTAAGTTGGATATGTAAAATATACGCACTCGATTGTTATTTTCACATTGGTATAATCGAATGAACGTTTTTGAACTTAAAGTCGAGTGCAGACGGGAATTATTTATGCAACAAACTATCCTGTCCTAAACAAGTGTTATCATATAACTTCAACCATCTTTTCTTGCATGTAAAAATGTAGACGAGAAGAAAAACATATACAAATTTAGTATCGTTGTATATATATAGCATCTTCGTAATTTAAAATTCCATTTCCCGAAACAGGAAAAGAACATACCTGTGTATAAAAGCAGAATATCACTTCAGTACCAAGCTATTATGTAAGATTTAAGGCCTGTCTAAGTCTTTATGGGTGAACAAAACAACATCAAAGTGAAGTGACGTTTATTTGTTTATGTTTATCAACCATAAATCTATTTTCTATTTTAGTCGACTTACATGCAAAATTACACATTTTATTTTGTGATTGAACCCCTCATTGTCAATATTTAAACTTGTTTTGGTCGACCCGACATTTCTATTTGGACATAACAGTTTTGTTAATATGAATACAAGCGTGTTTTATAACAGACAGGTGTTTCAATATCCTACACAATCACCACAAATGATAACATTGTGTTCATATGCTGCGTATCCGAACATGTTACTTTTGCAAGACATTAAGAGCTTCAGATAAGTTTACATTTGTAATGACAAACGTGTTATTCAGGGGCCGATTCTCTTAAATGTTATACTTTAAATAGGAAAATTAAACTTACATCGTTTTTGACAGTTTTGTTAAATGCCAACACTATTCAAGTAATTGTTTTTCAAACTCAAAGCTTGCCTTCCGAACACCTATAATGTATGTAATTTATAATTGTGTCAATTTATTGAATAAGAATAAAACATACAGGCGATGTCTGTGAACATTACTTTACTTCCTCGGCCATATATAGTAGTTACAGAAACAACCGAACACGGCCATATTGTCTATAACCAACAGTACTGTTGCTTCATGCTCAGTCGATTATTTGCCAATATTGTAATCTATACATCCAGTCAGAACTAAGTTATTGTTTGTCGGTCACACAAACGTCTGGGATACTCAGTAACAGGTGATCATCCCGATACCAGTCAACCTCTGTCGAAGAGATGACCCATTTCTGTGATAGGTGATCATCCCGATACTGGTCAACCGTAAGCTTAGACTAGAGGGAACATTCTTTCACAAACCTGTATGTCTGACTGAAACTCGACCTTCACCTGTATGTCCCCCCGATCCGCGACTCCTCTATATTATGTTGAAACTATTCCAAGATGTATGCGTTCGTGAGCCAAAACACAAAAGAACGTCTTACTTATAAGCTCAATCATCATCCATCTTTTTGGAGCGTAGGTCGACAGACAAGGGTCTGTATTTATTATATTAACAGAAAAACTAATTCCAAATTGTTACAAGGTACCATTCAGGTTTTAGACGAGTTATTTGACAGTTTTGATGTGGTCTATTTTCATCACAAGAGGCCCAGAGGGCCTGTATCGCTCACCTGAATATAATTAAAGTAATTGGTATGAAGTAGAGATATAGCACTCCATGGTAGGTGCTGTTAGTACATATGAAATTTCAGAAAGATCCATCCAGTACTAGAGATATAGAGAACAAACTTCAAACAGAGACCCACCCCTATGCCCCTACGGGGGTTATACCCACCAATTATACAAAATTGAGTCACCGTCACCCAAGGATGCTCCACACCAAATATGGACAAAATCCTTTCATTCCTACAGAAGAAGCAGGATTTTAAAGAATAATTTGCTATATTTCCCCTATTGAGCCCCGCCCCTCAGGCCCCTGGGGTGCCAGACCCACCATTTATACAAAATTGGTTCTTCTTCACCCAAGGATGCTCCACACCAAATTTTGTTATAATCCGCTCAGTGGTTCATGACTAGTAGTGTAAAGTTGATGGACGACGGACGCTGTGGTATGGCATAAGCTCACCTTGGCTAAAAATGAAGCTTCAAAGTTACATTAAACAATTGCATTTACCCCCAAACTACTACATAATTGTGCAAGGAGTGTTCAAACATTATTTCATATTTACAATTTGTCGCTCTTACGCTTAACGTTCTAAACAAAGAAATAATACCTAATTGACATTTCTTATGAAATCCAGGGAATGAATACGTAATAATGTTTAATATGTATACTATAACTTGTACAGCAACAGAACAAATCCAGTGGTGTTATATGTACATTAAAACTATATATTATAGGGACAGAATATTAATTTTCTGTTGTTATTTGTACAATAACTATATATTATAGGGACAGAATATTAATTTTCTGTTGTTAATTGTAAAAGAACTATCGGTATATATTATGCCAGAACATTAACTCAATGTTTTTATATGCAAGTATATACTACAGTGAGAACACATATATATCTATGTTATTAAATATCTGGGACAAAACATTAATTATTATTAAAATTGTCACATGTTGTTGACCAATAAATGCATCATGTTGCCGACAGACAAATAAATATGAAACTTAAAATCAGTTTTGAAATGAATTTATTGACAACATAGATGTTTATGCCAACATTATACAGACTTAATTGATCACATTCTAAAAGTGAGAAAAGGTTTTTTTTATAGTGATCTTTACAGACATGAAGCTGAACAGTTATAATGATGGTCTATTTATTGAATTTAGAGACATACGTTTGATAGCTAAGCTTCTCAGTCATCAAGATTGATTTCATATACAAACAGTAATCTTTATGACTGTTTTACTTCAGAATATGCATGTTTTCATTTCACAAACACACATATATATCAGCTATAACAAAATGAATAAATAATGGAAGGTTTGAACTGGGTACTGCACTTTTGTAATGATCAAACAGCTATGATAAAGGGAGACAATTCCACAAGTTATATAGCTTCCCTATCTCTTTAGCAGATCATTTGTCATTTGAATTATTTTCTGCCCTACTTACACCACAACAGCTTTGGAAAGATGAATAAAATCATCTCAAAGAGAAACAAGAACATATGCAATGAAAAATATTTGACATGATAAAATATATAAAAACCAAACGAGTAAATAATGACTATAAAACAATGAGTTGAAATTTACAACACACTACAGCACACAAGTCCTTCTACTTATCTTGATTAGAGCTATTTAGATTTATAAAGACACATCCAGCGATCTGTAGGTTTCACATCTATGTCTTTTACATTAGTCCAGTCAAATTTGATCAGTGTTTGCTTCTTGATAATACAGAGTTAATATTCTGAAAGCAATTCTGATGCATCACAATTCTACCCGACAACATGATTGGTTTTTCGTTCTTGAGGAAATTGCTGCTGATACACTTATTCAATGTTTGTATCTCGGATCACCCACACACAATTCAATAAAGTGTCCTGACATTATCATATCTGCACTGGATTGGTGAAAAGTAAGCTGTCATTGTCTTGTATCATTAGGAAGCCGTCCTGGGGAACAACATGTGTCCTATATCCACAAATCCACACAACACTAAGGTTACTATGTTCACTTCTTTTTCTTTGGTCGCCCTCGGTTGTCTGGTGTGCCGTCTGCTTTCCTCTTCTGTCCTCCCTGAGGAAAAATTTCATAGAAACATTTTAAATATTTCTAAAATTATCACATAAAACTTTGTATTTATTTCAGAACTACAATAAACACACATTGCATGAATATCAAACCTATACATGAATGTTGTCTACATAAAAACAACTCTATATTCTATGAATGTTGTCTAAATAAAAACAACTCTATATTCTATGAATGTTTCAGATCACTCTGTCCAATGATGTATCAACTATGGCTTGCATGTTTTAAATGTTTTGTGAAACAAGAGGCCCATGGGCCTTAACGGTCACCTGAGTCTATAGTATTTATTTTTGTTGTTGAAATATGTACCAATTTGAGTAAAAAATAGTATAATGTTAACTTAACTTTGTCAGGACCATGAGCTGATCATTCCTAGACCAATTTTAAGTGAGATCGGCCTATTAGAACTTAGTAGCAAAATAGCGGCCATGGCAGCCAAATTGTATTTCTGATTGACCCGAAAAATAACAACACTTTGTCAGGACCATGATTCGATCATTCCTACAAAGTTTCAGTTCAATCGGCCAAGTAGATCTTTACTTTAAGTTTGAAATAGTTTACCAAAATGGCAGCTGTGGTGGCCATATTGGATTTCTGATCGACCTGAAAAATAACAACACTTTGTCAGGACCATGAGTCAATCATTCCTACAAAGTTTCAGTTCAATCGGCCTAGCAGAACTTGACTTTAAGTTTGAAATATGTTTTCAAAATGGTGGCCGTGGCGGCCATATTGGATTTATGATTGACCTGAAAAATAACAACACTTTGTCAGGACCATGAGTCGATCATTCCTACAAACTTTAAGTTCAATCGGTCCAGCAGAACTTGACTTTAAGTTTGAAATAGGTTTTCAAAATGGCGGCCGTGGTGGCCATATTGGATTTCTGATCGACCCAAAAAATAACAACACTTTGTCAGGACCATGAGGCGATCATTCCTACCAACTTTCAGTTCAATCGGTCCAGCAGAACTTGACTTTAAGTTTGAAATAGGTTTTCAAAATGGTGGCCGTGGCGGCCATATTGGATTTCTGATCGACCCGAAAAATAACAACACTTTGTCAGGACCATGAGGCGATCATTCCTACCAACTTTCAGTTCAATCGGCCCAGCAGAACTTGACTTTAAGTTTGAAATGTAAAATGTTAACGGACGACGGACGACGGACGACGGACGACGACGGACGAAAACGGATAGCAATAGGTCACTTGAGCTAAAGCTCAGGTGACCTAAAAATGGTGAAGAACTTTTTTCAGATCTTGTGATTAATCTCCTAATCTTTTTATTTGTTATATTTGAAGAAAATATTTGAGGTATTTTAAAAGTTATTTCATAAGAGAAGGGAATGTTTCTGGAAATTGATATTTGTAGTGACTTTGATTTTATTTGATGAGAAGTACACTTTTCAGTTATTTGAATGATGTAGGGTTGTACTATACTTGAGGTGAAAAATAAGGAGTTAACTCCAGTTATTTGAGGCAGTGAAAATTTAAAAAGAAATTTTTATATTAGAACCAGCAGCAAGTAGAAGTGACTTCAGTTATTGTCGGTGTGTTAAGCACTCATGACCGGCCAGATGTTTTTAAGAAATGTTATGAACTATTGGGTAAATAAAATGAGTCGTAAGTTACCTTTACTCCTGACTTTGGTCCCTTCCTCTTTCTCTCGGCCTTCTCCTTTTCCTCCATTTCCATATTCTCTCTCTCTATCAGGGTGATCAGAGTATTACAGCGCCTCTGCAGCTCCTGTCACACAATTGCATCAAGGTTTGAAAATATTTTTTTCTATCATGAAGTTTAGGGTTATTCCAAAATGAGTACACAGAATTATTGTTTCTTCAGGAAACCCATCACAATAGTTGGTCATGCACCCCAATATATTGTTACAAAATACCCTTAATTCTGGAATAGCTTTGATCAACAATATTACAATATAGCTATATACTTTATACTGGTTGAATTAATGGTTTTTCCCCAAACAGATACTCTTAAATGATAAACAATTTAAACGAAACAAAAGCACCATTGTCTCTAAAAAAATCTAAACATGTCATACTGAGCATTAAATACAGGTGAACGTACCATAGCTGTTCGTGACTTGATGAACCAGTCGAACCTGAACTGTGGGGCCTGCCTGACAGCCGTGCGGAGTTCATCATACACATTCTCCTTGTCAAAGCCAAGTTTGTGGAGCATACAGATGAGGAATCGGTCCTCTTCCTCGGTGTAGTTCTTACCCTTGTTGGTACCATACTGTATCCTCAGCTGATGGAATGGTGCTCGGTACCGTGCCATCTGTATATATCAAGACTCACAATTAGAACTGTTATACTAGTTTTGTTACAATCTGTAAATATCAAAGCTCACCATCATCACAAAACATTAATGTATGTACATAATTCATACTTGTTAAAAAAAAAAAAAACCAGTCCTTTCAGTCACAAGAGATGAATTTATTTTTTTTAGCTAAGTATATACCGATATCAGGAATTCAATTGTAACAGACATATATACTGAAACCAACTGCAAGGTTAACTTGACAAGCACATTTCCATACTTTTGCATCTAAAGCCTTCTTGATGCTGATCCTACGCTGTATCTTGGCCTCTCCACGCTCCACCTGTGACATGATCTTGTCTATGTCCTGCAGCTCGTTACATCTTTCCCAGAATACACCAGAGTACTCCATAACCTGTAATAAAACACAGCCACACATTGGTCAAAATATATATGGTAATCTATGGCTGTCATATCTATAGATGTTGCAATGTTCTCACTAAGTCTTGAAACAGGTGGTTGACCTTTGAATGTTTACATGTTATAATATTGACCAATACATATTCTGAAAAAATAGCCAGTTCCATGTTGATGAATAGCATCATGCTTCTTTTGCCCACAACTGGTTTTTAATGGGAACACTGTGTTATTACCGCTTGGAATTTGAATTATTTTGCCTATATCAAGCTGAATTATTAGGTTCTTTGGGGATTGTTGTAAACATGTTTCGTTGTAATATTGAGTCAGAATAATTAAATACACATACTTCATCTTTATGTCGATTGTCATTTATATCGCAAGTCTACATATGTCTGTAGTCATACACACATATGGTGAGTGTATATCTAACAACGGTTTGCTGAAATGGTCTAATTACTTAGTAAAGTCAGTGCTAAACCCTGTCTGGACTGTGTACAAAGGTTACCTCATCAGGAGTCTTGCCCTCTACATCCCTGGCAATGCTATCTAGGTCATCTCGACCATACTTCTCATTGGCTTTGATGAACTGGTTGAAATCTCTCTTACTCCAGTTTGTAAACCCCTGTAATATAAATTCAAATCAGGGATGTGATTGGGTATTCAAAATAATTAGGACATCAAAATGAAAAGGGAGGAACACACTGCACACAGTAAAAACTTCAATTTTTAATGTTTCAGGAACATATCATAAACTTTTGAAATTATGGAAAATAATAGGAATGGATACTGCTTTTTGAGCATTCTAGCATTAATAGATTTCATTTTTTTATACAGACAAGTACAGCTACAAAGAAACAAAATTGTTTTCTCACTATTTTGTGCTAATGTTAAGGTAAATCAGACAAACACCATGCCCTGGTTGGTCTCATACCTCATTCAGAAGTTCTTCTTTCTCTTTCAGTTCCTCTTCATTTAAGACCTCTGACTCATCAATCCTCTGTTGCTCCTCCTTCCTGATTCGCTCGGCATCAGTCCCTAAATCAGGGTTTCGTGGCACACGATAACCAATGGACTTTCTATAAAAATATATCTCTTTGTCCAGCAGTTCAAACAACCTTGGGGGGAAGAACTGAAAGTCCTGCACATTGGGTTGTTTTGGTGGTCTAGGGGCCTGTGAAAAAAAGGACACAATGTCTTACATATATAGGAATATTTACATGGTCTAGGGGCCTGTGAAAAAAAGGACACAATGTCTTACATATATAGGAATATTTACAGACAGAATAAGGGACATAAGTATAGCAGAGACGTTACAATATACGCCCATTTTCAAAACCAAGTACATTTCTAAGCTTTAGTCTTAGTATATATATATTACACATACTTACCAAGTCCTTTTTAATTAAAACTAAATAAAATTTAAGCTAGTGTCTTGCAAATGCCAAAGTGTGGACAGACCAATGCGCCGCATAATATTTATTATATATGTTCCTTCTAAAATTTTGAAAGACTTGAACAAATCTGTTGATACCCAAAAGTCTGCTTGGAATAGGAGAAATTACCATGAAAATCATCCTTTTAAAAATCAAATTTGTTTAGAGTATATTACATATTTTTTAAACTTGTAAAAGGCTCAAAAACATTTCTAGACTGACTTTAGCAATCCGATATGAAATGAGTGGGTAAGATACCATTGGTGTTGAATTAAATGCATTCTCTGTTACAGGATATAAGCAGAAACCAAGTAACTTTAGGCAAATTAAGGTCACTGAGGGCACCATAACTCTACCATAGTTAACCTAGTCGTCAGATCCAGGAACATGGCTTCTTGAATTTTAGTTTGCACTCTCATCTTTAGAGTCTAAAAACTATGAAAATGCTTTAACAGCACTTATCCCTGCCTTCTGTTTTCTTCACTTGGTTTAGTAATGGCCATTTGTTTTGTTAATAATGACAAACAGCATAACTTGTTTTGATAACTACTGTCTACTCACTAGCTTTTGCCCAGTCAAGTATTTGCCCTTTGCTGACAAAATCCATGTTCACCAAGTGTTAATTTGCCCTTCACATGTAATGACTATGATTGTATAATGTGTACTAATATATGCTGTCACGATACATTTGCCTTCATTGGGGAGGGCAGAAAAGGAGAAAGCTAAACTGTGATGAAAATTTCCTGGTATACAGTAATTAGCTTTGATCTTGCAATTATTCGACTTCGTCAATATTTTTTCAATCTTCTCCTTTAGCATCAATAATAAGGATGCTACTATTGACAGAAACATGCATGTCTATTGTACTTTATTTGATCTTGCTGTTCTATCATTATTTGACATCATTACAATGCAGTATATGAAATGCCTACCTTAGGTGCTTTAGGTTCGCTGACTCGGAGTGCCTCCCTGAAATAGGCGTCCACGGCATAGTTGGCTTTCCTCTCCCTCTTTGGCGGCTCGATCCACATACCCATGCCACCTTTATGTTTTTCTCTGTAATCCTGACCCTCAAATTGGTACACACTCTCAGTTGGCGTGTCTAGGGTAAATGTCGCCAATGAATTCTCTCCCATTGTAGACAACTTGGATTTCATTTCTTCCGTCTGTTAATCACGAAAATAAATGAAGCTAGTATATCAATACCAGTATCATGGACATAACTGTTCTGAAGACCAATTAATAAACATGTCCATTTTACAGCAAGCAAAGGGAAAAGTCAGGATTTCTGCTCCACAGACACAATTTAAAACAAGATAACGCAAAGAGTGACATTATCCCATGCGCCCCGCTTTTTAAAAGAAAGACACACAATCATATATATATATATGCTATTGTTAATATTACAAAAAGTATTAAATCCATTCCACCATTGTTACTGATATTTTGATGTAGATCATCTTTTACAAAACACTGATGAATTCCCCATCAGAAAAGGCTTGATAAGAGCACTAGCTTAATAAGTGTACAAAACTTCCTGTATACATCTTGAATGCAACCGACTCCAATAGACTGCTAGGTTGATAAGTGTACAAGTTCAATTTCAATTTGTTATTTTTAATAGTTTTGAGATCTTGCTTCAGAAACCTCAAATTTCGTATTTTTGTCTTTTTCCATGGCAACAGAAAATGATTTTTTTTTAATCCAAAATGGGAACTCCTCCAGTAGCAAAATGCACCAAGAGAGTGCTAGCTTGTACAAAGTGTACAAAGTTTCAGGCAGTTCTTGAACAATTTTGTTGCCATGCTCTGGAAACTGTGAAATTTGTAATTTTGCCTAACTAGAGTGATAGGATGATAAGTGGACAAAGTTTCAGGTACATGTAGTTATCTTGAAAGGTTTTGACATTTTATTCCAGAAACAGCAAAATTTGTAGTTTTGCCTATCTGTTTCCATGGTATCCAAAATTTAAAAAAAAAAGGTGAGAACTCCTCCATAGCAAAAAGCACTACAAGAATGCTAGCTTGATAGTTATAAATACAAAGTTTCAGATAGTTTATAATCTTGAACGGTTTTGGAGTCATGATCCATACAACTGAAATTTGTAATTTGTCCTATCTGTTTCCATGGTAACAAAAAAAGTATTAAAATGGAGAACTTCTCCATAGCAAAAGGTACTACTAGAGTACTAGCTTGATAACTGTTCACAGTTTTGAGTAGTTTTCTTAAACTGTTCAGAGCTCTGGTCTGGAAAAAACCCATGCACGGACACACAGACAGAGCCCAATATAATATCCCCCACAAACGCGTTTCGCGGGGGATAGTAACAATAATAAAAAAAAGGGTACCGGGAAAGCGGAACAGTATACAACGCCATACATTGAATGAGCAGTTGCCTGTATGGTTGTACATAAAGGGCCATAACTCCAGAAGTTATGTTTGGACTTCTCCGAGCTATCATGGCAATAAACCTTCCTATGAAGTTTGACGTTAATCTGTTAAAAACTTTTTGGCAATTAAATAAAGGGCCATCACTTCATAAATAACAGTCCTATTATTGCGGTTACCGAACTCGGCCAAGCAATCATATTATTTGTTTGTTTGTGTTTTATGTCCTATGAACAGCTATGGTCATTTAAGTACGTGCCACGTTTTAGAGGTGGAGGAAAGCTGGAGTTCTCCGAGTACCTAGCGCATGCCCCACATAGGTCTCAAACCTAAGACCCAGTGGAGGAGGGCTAATGGTAGCAGAATGTCAGACGCATTAACCACTTGGCCCCCGCTATCATGGTAATAATTCTTCCTGTAAGTTTTGAAGTTAATCTGCTGAAAATTAGTGAAGATATTTAGTAGACACCGTTTCGGAAAGTGGATAAAAGGCCCTAACTCTGTAAACTACCGTCGGATGTTGGTGGTTTTCAAACTTGTCCAAGCTCTTATGGTTAAAAACTTCATGAATCTGTTGAAAATCAATGAAGATCTCGAGTGGACAATGCGTCGGAAAGTTGACAAAGGGCCCTAACTCCGTAAGTTACTGTCGAATATTGGTGGTTCTTATGGTCATGAATCTTGTTATGATGTTTGAATTTAATCTGTTGAAAATTAGTGCAGATATCGAGCGGACACCAGATTCAGAAAATGTATAAAGGGCCCTAACTCCGTAAGTAACTGTGGGATATTGGTGGTTATCAAACTTGTCGGAGCTCTTATAGTAATAAAACGTTCTTATGAAGTTTGAATTTAATCTGATGAAAATTATTGAAGATATTGAGTGGACAACAAGCGCATCCGCCCAGCCAGCAGCCACTAACCTGCTAAGGTCATAACAAAATACGTTCTTCTTTCGAGGGGCATATATATATATGTAAAAAATAATACCTACCATTTTTTCGTGGATGAAACCCTTAAAATAATTTTGTTTTATTTGGCCTTATGTAAACCCTGACTTGAGATTACTTAAACAAGAACATAGAATTACTTGTACTAATTCATAGCAGCTGATACAACCGTTAATTTTGTTAAAACCACTTCTTTGATTGTTAGCATAACACATAATATGTAACTCATACTGATAGACATTCTACGTCTCTGTTTACATAGTTTTCTTACTCCACCTGACACTACATGATAGTCTCACCTTTTTCTCTCCTCTCTCTAAGATTTGGTCAATATCGTCATCTGTGAGCTCAGATTCTTTGGAGGCAAACACATGGCTGGCACCATGCCTGATCATGTTGAGTACATCATCCTTCCCCAAACGGTTGGTGTTCTGATCTACTAAACGTCCTGAAATTATTGCAAAAAAATATAATAAACAATTCATTCTGCAACCAACTCCCCAGTTTATCCAACTCTCATATGCTATGTTAAAATATTGTCTAGTATACTTGACTATGGAAGGGAAAGACTGGGTTATAAATAATATATGTATTTCCAGAAAGATTCATGAAAGTCCAACATTATTCCTCTCAGAATTATCTTACAAAAACCAAGAACTTGTAGGTTTCATGAAAGTCGAAACATTCTTTCAAGAGATATGGTAAAAGTTGTGCAGACAATGACACTGAAGGAGTGATCCCTTCTCGACCTTCACTTCGCCATACAAAACCCCTGTAACTGGAAGGAGGAAGAGTACCTTGCTGTATCACAATGTTATCCAGTTTGAGTTTCATTTCTGCTCTCTCCACAATTCTGTCCTCCACAGTGTTCTCTGTGATGAAGCGGAACACTCTCACCTGTTTTTGCTGTCCAATACGATGGGCACGGTCCTGTGGAGAAGGAGCATCACCAATACACGAACTAAGTCTTTACAACAATTATTACATTGTCATCCTCACAAAAAATCCTAAGGGTGTATACCAGTTTAATTGCAATAGCATTTACTGTTTACAGATTTCCATTTGAGTAGTGTTACTTTTATGCCTGAATGGAAAATATAGGACCTGCATGCCAAATGTAATCTTCAGAAGTGCTTTAATTTTTTTACAACAGAAATTTCAAACCATGTTGACAATAGGATATTTGCAGGCTAATTACATGTCTGAATAGCTGTGATAGAAACTAATACAAATTTACAGAAGGAGACTAGTATATCACAGGAGGGGTATGGTCAGAGTACCAGACATACCATGGCCTGGAGGTCAACCTGTGGGTTCCAATCAGAGTCGTACAGGATGACACAGTCTGCAGTAGCCAGGTTGATTCCCAGTCCACCAGCTCTTGTGCTCAGCATGAACACAAACTTAGTACTGCCTGGCATGTTGAAGTCATTGATTGACACCTGGACAAGCATGATTTTGAGATAGATAAATAACATTATAAATTTAGTAAGTGAGATTTTTGCATCTAATCATGAAGATTATTTCAAAACATTTATAAGTGTATTTGTACACAGCATTAAAAGTAATACTTAAATAAAAAAATATATATACATATCATAAATCAGAAAAATGATATGTTATAAAAAGAAAAATTCTCGACAAAGAGTCTTTAGTACTTTCATCTCTTCTAGGAGATTCTTCAGACTCAGTATATATATATANGTCTTCATGTGGTGTGCTTCCATCCAAGCGGCAGTAATTGTAGTTTTTCCAAAAACAGTAATCCTCAAGTATGTCCAGTACACGAGTCATCTGACTGAAGATCAGTACTCGTGAATCTGAAGGTAGATAAACATTTCTGACTCAAGTTTGTGATTCTCATAAGGCTAGTTTTGAAAGTGAAGAAGCTAGCATATATATGACTCGCTAATTTCCCACTTCTATCACAAACTAGCTATTAAAAAAGTGATACTACACTACAAATCAAATTATTCCACTTTTTGATTCTTTGATTATAGAACTTGATATATATATATAAAGTTTATATCAGAATAATTGTATACATGTGGCGACATAAAAGAAGTACAAAGGGCCTGTAGCCCTGACCTGGATATTTACTGTATGTAATCATGGCCTAATACCTCTGGACCAGTCCTGGCAGTCTATGTGTATCAAAACTTCATGCTCAGCAATTGTATGTATTGTTATGTATATTGTATCAAAAATGTTTCCATGTTATGACACAGGAACTAAGACTCTAATGTTGGGGACAAACCCAATTAAGGTAGCATGATTGTGTTCACATCTTAAATGGGTGGTGGTAGACCAAGTTACCAGGGGTGAGGAGATCCAAAGGCCAATCTATGTAGCATATCTGTACAAAATGTATTAGATTTTCCATGTCAAGCAATTCACATATATATGTTTATCAGGTTGTGATCTCAACTTTTTAAAGGGACTCGGTCTTCAAGGATGGGGCTAGATCCAGAAACCATCCTTTTAGCAAATGTACATTCATTTCTTCCTATTCAGCAATTGTATGTATTTTGGCTATAGAGTTGGTATCTCAAGTATTTCTCCCCAAGTTGTGACTCCGGTATTAAGTCTCTAGGGATGTGGTCAGACCCCATATCAATTCTAATATCATGAATGTGTTCTTCTCTTTCAGGTCAGCAACTGTAAGTAAGATTAAGTGCAGGGGCCAGACCCGAGAACTATCCTTTATGTGTATTCGTCTATATGGTTACAGTGTGGAGATACATTTCAAAACCATAGAATCTTTCTGGCCATGCCCCTGGGGATGATAGTTAGCTAAAAATGCAATGTACTTGTCCTTTCTGATAGTACCAAGTATTTCCTATAGTGTAAACATGCTGGAATTCCCTGGATTCCCTGGACAGAGCTTTCTCACCTTGGGCTTTTAGTTTGGGAAGTAGTTTGTCCAAAATCACCATTTTTCCACAGTTGTCCACCAAGTGTTGATCTGTTGTGAACGGTGGACCTAAGGAACAACACAGAATTAAAATCAGAGATTCAATTACAGATGAGTACAAGTACCATGATGCTTAATGTATAGAATTATTCACCGATAAGATAGAATCTGGGTTGATTTATATTTTTTCTACATTCAGTACAAAATATAACTCTCTACATACCAGGCTCTGCTCCGTCAAACAGGTAGGGGTGGTTGGAGCACTTTCGCAGCTGCATGAGAATGTTGAGCAGTCTCATCTTGTCACTTTTGCCTGCGCCATTCACAACATCAATGTCTTTCATCAGGATTTTTGTATACCTGTCCAATAAGAAGCACAAGATCAAGTTTAAACTGTTTTCTACATCAAATCTGTACATGTAATTGTTTCTTGCATAGACAAACGAGTATCAATATTCCAGTTGTTTGCAAGGGCATAATAATAAAAGCATCAAGCAGCAAAGTAGAATAACAAAAATGTTGTGTTATATTTTTAGAACACTTTCTAACTTGCCCTTTTGTGTTGTTAAATAGTGAGAATCATATATGATGCATGCATAAACTGAAATCCGTATTTTTTAGGAACTATTTGAACGATTGAATTTCAGGTGTAGGGAAAGAAGGGAAACCCTTACCATTCTCTCTGCATTTTACTGAGACCAACAAAGATTTTCACTTCCTTTTTTGGCAACAGCTTCTTTTCCACTTCTGACTTGATACGCCTCAATAAGAAAGGCCTCAAGACCTGAAATCATGACATTTACGTCATCATTGATTTATTAAGATAAGTCAGTCAAGTTGAATCCAGACAGACTGGATGCAAAACTAAATTTAGTCATCAAATATAAAATGCTCCCTAGATATGATGGTTACAAATGTACCTCTAATCATGACTTGTGACAAGGATCCTTTGTAATGGACAAGTGGAACATCATCTACTTATTACATTAATTTAACTTCACAAAGATTTCATGTAACCCAGACAAAAAGATTTATCAGACAGCTGACTTTTCAACAGTGGTTAGAACAGACGATGTTCTACGAGAGTGTTTGACTGAGGTGGGTGAACTACACAAAGATGCTAGATTTTGAATGGTACATTGCCAGATTTTCCTATCCAATACTAGACTGGTGATTAATTCTCCATATATATACAAAGCAACAATTTATAACATGCCACATCAAAGATGGGGTTGGCCTATACTTACAACATGCAGTCTCTCCACAAGCTCTTTGTCACCAAGACATGTGTTTGTATTAAACCAGGAATCAAAATCCTGCAAAATCAAGTCAACAATCAAAAGTGTTTATTGTTACCAATAATGTAGATTTTTCAATACGTAACCGGACAGCACAATTCCTGTCTTTGACACTATTTGAATACTTTGCTCCATTATTGGGTCCATTTTCCACAATTTACAAATTTTGATCACTAACTGCTCTGTTTTTGTGACATTTCGAAATCGTGTTTTAACAATTTACAAATTTGATAACTAACTGCTCTATTTTCGTAACATTTCAATAAAAGATATGCTTATTTTTTAAGCTATATATGACTGATTTGGTGAATTTCACACACCACACATGTAACATTCATTACTTGGGATGGGTTGTACTGTCCAAAATATTCGCAATTTGACATATTGAGCAAATTGTAGTGTTTAATCAACAAAATCCTGCATATTGGTTGATCACTCACATCAGCAGAGTTGAACACATCTGGCAGGAGGAAGTTAAGTAGAGACCAGAGTTCATGAAGGTTGTTTTGCAATGGCGTCCCTGTCAACAGCAGACGATTTGCAGACTTGAACTCTCGAACGATTTCTGATAACTGCAAAGAATAAATGACACATTGAACACAATATTCTGCATTTGGTAAAAATTGAATTTCCAGTGGGTCTAGCTACTCTTCTTTATTTTCAGTTTGGATTATAAATCAATATATAAAAGCTTTCCCCTATGACCAGTGGTGCAATGTTTTACTCTTACCTTGGATTTCTCATTCTTGATTCTGTGGGCTTCGTCTATGACAAGGTATCGCCAGTTGAACTTCTTGAATACAGATTTCTCCCTGATAACCATTTCATACGAGGTGACACAAACATCCCACTCACCAGGCATCATAGTATCTCTGATGAATGTGGCCTAACATAATACAAACAACATTGTCAGTCAGGGTATAAATCGTGTTTTTACAATTCTATAAGCTACTAAGATGTCTGTATGGCTATCTACATTTCACATTGAGGTTCAGCTAGCTCCTGAAATAGACCTCAATTTAGCTTCTTTTTAGTATTCATGGCCCATTAAAAAAACCTGAAATTAGAGTCTGTTAACTTAAAGTTGTATCATCATCAAAATATACAAAAAATAACAAACAAGTTCTGTATATATCACTTTGCAATGAATCTAATTAACATTTTCCATACTCATTTGAAGTATTATGGAAAGGTGATTTAAAGTTGTGCAATGACTTTGCAATGATCACAAGACTTACCCTCTGTTCAGCACTTCCTATGAGGCAGACAGCTCGTATACTTGGACACCACCTCTTAAATTCACACATCCAGTTAGCGAGTGTGGACTTGGGACAGATGACCAGGTGAGGGGATGGCAGGTGCCGGTAGTGTTTCATGTAGCCAAGCAAAGAAATTGTCTGTAGTGTCTTTCCGAGGCCCTGAAAAGGTTATTACGTGAAGAAGATCCTGTTTATCTGAGCTTAATGACACACAAGTCAAATTCAAAATTTCTTTTTTTATTGTACAAGAGGCATGTCACTTGCTCTGAAGACATTTGTAGACTATCTTCAATATATCTAATTTTTTCATTTTCTAACTTCAGATAATTTTCAAGTCACCAATTTCACTTGGCAACTTTTGTTTTGAATGAAGTTTCATTTGCTATGAGACACTGTTATAGGTATATATTGTTTACAAAGTAAAATCTTTCAGAAATAGTCCCCCTATTTCTGAGGGATGTTTAAGAAAAGGGGGCAAATGGGTGGTTTTATGTAGATGTTAGAGAAGCTAACATGTTTCTTAAGTACTTCATGATGAATAATAAGTATTTTCAGTAATATACCTTTTATTTTGGATACACAATTTTGGAGAATGTGCTATAAGTAACAAGACAGCTTCAAAGTCTTCAGGTGAGTGCGTTTGATTTTTGATAATGGTTGCCGATCAGGGTATGCGATGCATTGAATCTCAAGACGGTCAGTTGTAGAATGATAACCGGTTTGACAGGTAATGCGCTTTTTATACATAACCAGCGAGACCCATACTCGTTTCCAAGCAAGGACAAACTAAAATGTCGGCACTTCCTTAGAAACGATTGTCGAAAGAGTTGGGGAAGATCTCAAAACCAGAAAGAAAAAAAAAAGATTTTTTTTTATATTTTTTTAAATCTCAATTTAAAACTTTTTAACTTGCACCGTCAGCTTTAAGCACATCTTCTTCATTACTTTTGCTTTTAAAATTTCAAGAGTCAAAGACCATTAGCTTAAGAATACTGAGGTTATGTTTACTGATGGTATTTCATCCTCTACAAAGCCCAGGCCATATAAGTAAGATCCCAAACCATTGTAGTGTTATGACTATAAAGCAGTATTGGTGGAATACTAACCATTTCGTCTGCCAGTATACCATTGATACCATTTTCATACAGAGATATCATCCAGTTTAAACCACGCACTTGGTAGTCCCTCATTATTCCAGATTTGATGTCTGTGAAATAACAAAACATGTGGTTTGCCCATCAATATTCTCAAATCATTTTTACCAAAATCCAGTTGCTTTAATAATTTGCTGCTTGCTAGCAATGAAGTAGATGGTATTTTTGCAGGAGTTCAGAAAATAGTTTATTCTTAGCAGTTTGTCAGAAACTGAATGTTTCCATTAATATCATATGGTATTGGTAATTCATTTAACTTACATGATGGATGAGTCTCGAAGCGGTATGAACTGGCTGCAGCTTTCTTGCTAGCTGTGAGCAGCTCCTCATCTTCCTCTTGTTCAGTTCGCCGATGTCTATGACTAAAATTTTAACACTTAGTTACAAATAACGGCATTTAAAGCAATTACCTTTAATTTGCATTCATTAGACAAATGAAATGCATCTTATAAAAGACAATGGGATAGTGTCTTTAATGGCAAAAGTTCAGTGATTTTTGAGAAGTCAAAACCAATAACTGGTAACAAACACATGACAAACAGAAGTCAAAACCAATAAGTGTTTGCAAACACATGACAAACAGTAGAAAACAGACAATTACAATAGGTCACGTGAGACTGCCTAAAGAGACCTAAAAATTCTACAAGTCTGCATTAATATAACTTTTTTTAAGAATACCTGTACTAGAAATTTGTACGTGTACTAACCCTAACATAATTGACATCAAATCTACCAACATAGATGTTTTTAACGCGACACATACATTCTAGATTACTTACTCTCCAACAGTTGTAAGCTTCTGTTTTTCATCTTTCTTCATTTTAGGTCGACCTGGTTTCATTTTTAAAGGACTTGTTGGTGTTTTACCCCCTTGTCCTGCTCCTGTTTGCATGAAATGTGAGAACAACTCTGTTTGTTTGAGCAAAAACTCAAACCGGTTGCCCCTGTCTGCTTCCTGTGAAATGAATTTGAACATGTGACAATCAATAAATGTGTTCAAATAAATATTGGTGAATGAATATCTACAAAGAACAATAAGGGGAAAAAATGCTATTATACTGGGTACTTAAATGTCACACATAAATCTATTTCAAGTATACTGGATTTATATTTTAGAACCTTTCTTGCAAGTGTTGATGCTACCATTGGCTTAGGTCAGTGACTTTTCAGTGGGCAATTTCAGACAATGTTGTATATGATTTTTTTTTAACAAAAGCTTATCTACCTAGTAACTTTTATCAAGGCATCCACATGTATGTCAAAATCATGATATTGTATGAAATCTTTAAAACAACTGAAGTCATATATCACCTCTATAAAGGGTTTGGCATGTTACAGCATAGAAATGTCATGGGAGGAAACCCTAGTTTCTGTGATCCATGCATTCAGACCATCTTTGAATAAGAAACATTTAATAATTATAACAAGAGGCCCAATGGACCTGAATCGCTCACCTGGTATTAACCTCACACTTGTAATCTTAAAAGTGGACTAAAATACAGCTACAGGCAGAATATCAGTGTTTGATTCATAAGAACCTATTAAAAGATTTAAACATATGACGCCTGTGACCTTGAATGTCGAACAAGGACATCAGGTTGAACAGAGTTTAAAGTCTTCCAACCCAGCATGCTTTTGGCAAAATATCATTACCCTGAACCTTTTGGTTATACAGAACAAGCAATTTAAAGATTTAAATATATATTGACCACTGTGACCCTGAACATGGGCGAAAATTCATTTTGACAAAATTGGTAGCCCTTCATCCCAGCCTGCTAATGACCAAATATCATCATCCTTGGCCTTTGGCTAATTTAAAAGAAGTCGTTTAAAGATTTTAACCATATTTGACCCCTGTGACTTTGGATATATGTAAAGGTCATTCATTTAAACAAACTTGATAGCCCTTTATCCCAGCATGCTACTGGCAAAATATCATTATCCTAGGCCTCTTGGTTATTCAGAAGAAGTTGTATAAAAGTTTTGAACATTTTTGACCCCTGTGACCTTGAAAATAGTTAAAGGTCATTCATTTGAACAAACTTGGTACATTTAGCCCTTCATTCTGGCATGTTACCGGTCAAATATCATTATCCTAGGCCTCTTAGTTATTCAGAAGAAGTTGTTTAATGGTTTTTAACATATTTGACCCCTGTGACCTTGAATACAAGTCAAGGTCATTCAACTGAACAAACATTGTAGCCCTTCATCCCAGCATGCTCCTGGCAAAATATCATCATCCTAGGACTTGCGGTTATTGAGAAGTTGTTAAAATGTTTTAAACATATTTCACCATTGTGACCTTGAATATTTGTCAAGGTCATTCATTTGAACAAACTTGGTAGACCTTCATCCCAGCATGCTACTGGCATACTATCATTATCCTAAGCCTCTTGGTTATTCAGATTAAGTTGTTTAAAGGTTTTAAACATATTTGACCACTGTGACCTTGAATGTAAGTCAAGGTCATTCATTTTAACAAACTTGGTAGCCCTTCATCCTAGCAGGTTACTGGCCAAATATCATTAGCCTAGGCCTCTTAGTTACTCAGAAGTTGGATAAAGATTTTTTAAGACAATTGACCCCTGTGACCTTGAAAATGGACGAAGGTCATTCATTTGAACAAACTTGGTAGCCCTTCATCCCAGCATGCTACTAGCCAAAAATCATCCCTCTGGGCATTTTGGTTATTCAGAAGAAGTTTTTTTTTTTTTAACATATTTGACCCCTGTGACATTGAAAATAGGTGAAGGTCATTCATTTGAACAAACTTGGTAGCCCTCTATCTCAGTTTGCTTCTGGCCAAATATCATCACCCTAGGCCTTTTGGTTATTAAAAAGAAGTTGTTTAAAGTAAAATATTGACTATGGACGGGCAGAGGACGCTGCACCATGACATAAACTCACTTGGCCCTTTGGGCCAGGTGAGCTAATAAAAATTAGCCATACTGTGAATTGACCTCCATCAATTCTGACTAGGGGCACTTACGATTTTTGCATCAAATTCCTCTTCCTCCTCCTCCACCATGGGTTTTGGGGGAGATTTCAGCAGCACCACTGGTGCTTTCCCTGGAGGCTAGAAACACAAATTTTTGACATAGGTATTGGCACTCATTCCTCTTCCAACACATATTTAAAAATTTACATCATATTGGGACTTCTGTACTTTCCTTATAATTATGTTACTGCACAAAGCAATTGTTATTAGCTAGTTTAACGCTAAATTTGCCTACAACGAAGATACAAACTTCATTGGTTAACATGCAGCAGTTAAAATAAGAATTTTGGGGCATAGTTATCAGGGATGTCAAAATTCTTACCAAAGCACTTGCCCTGGCCATGGGCAGGACCTTAGAAATTCACTTGCCAGAATGTGATTTCTATTTGCCTCATATAATGCATATTACCATGGCCAGGTACAGTATAGCCTGTGTTTCCTTCGGCGCTGACACCAGACTTTTTGTTAGACATTGTCATTTTTATATAGTAGTGCACTCTGGGCAGTGGCCCCACACCAGCTGCAGACATCTATTTGTCAAAATGTCCAAGTCTGGTATCAGGGCCAGAGGAAACTCAGGCTATGGGTATACATGTATGTACATGTTATTTTTTTTATAAATATGAAATGTTTAATGAACTATCTAAAAGGGTTGTAATGTTTAATTAAGCACCATAAAAAAGTGTGATAACACCCACGTTATAACTTATATACATTTTGTAAATTTCGTTCATTGTTTTTATTAAATGCAAGCTCCTATGCAAAACAATATGTTGTCATTCGAAAATGAAGCAGATACAAAAACTGAAATAATTTTTCCATCACATATTTCCGTGATTTTGTACCACAGGGCTTGAAGTATAACAATATATTCAGTACAATGTTTGCTACAAATAGACAGACACAGAAACTGGGTTCATAATTATGTCATTCTATGGCAATGACAGGATTAACTTACCTAGATTAACTGAAATGATAGCAAACTGACTATCCACAAAAATAACAATGATACACAGCAGGAACCACACTGCTAAGTGTTGGGAATCCATCAAAATTTCATGATCTATCATCAGTTTCCTCTCACCAATCAATGATCGATTAAAATTGATTAATTTTGGATTGACTTTCAGATATCTGACCATTAGCAGTGTCTTATACTGTACTTGTATTTGTATAGTTGATTTCTGACTCTGTCATATTTTATAAACAACAAAATTGGCCAAAAAACTTCAAGAGAACAAATTGCTTTCCTTATATTACATGTATAGATCTAGAGTGTTTCTGCTCACTGGACCCACTTCAACTTTTTTCGGAAACCCAAAGTATCTCCATATTTATTATAGACCTCGGCCGTTTATCAGGTCGATTGTACAGCATTGGTAAAGCTTCAGCTTTACCGTTCCCTCTGTACACAGGTACTAGCCTTGTCTGTCAATGGGTGCATTGACAAGACAAGGCTAGTTTCTGTGCTCCGGTACGTAATAGCTATTTTTTCTGTCGCTTACAATCATTAAAAAATATGCATCTCGCTCAATTGAATGTTTACATTCCGATTAGCTTTTGACTTTTTTTTATTGAGACGCTCATGTTTTTATATGATCGATACAAGTGACAGACAAAAAGTCCCTGCTCTTGGTGCATATCAAACCGTCCAAATCAAATGTGAATACCAGTCAGACGAATCATAACTTCAAAGGTTTTTTTATAAACTAGATAATGTGTTGCATTTCTGAAGAAAACTTGATCATAGATTTTTCACTCGATGAATTGGTAAAATGTCTCAAACAAGTGATACTCAACAAACTTGATTAAGCGGAACATCAGTAACACTGCTACTTAATTTAGCTATTGTGGCAGATTTCTATTGTAAATAGGATTACGGTCGCTTTCTAGCTTCGTGCAAGAGGGAAATTCTCTTTAGCTCTGTGCACGTGGTAGAGCATCCAACTAGGAAGTCTGAGATCGCTGGGAAAAAGTGATTTGATCCCCTGTGGAAGCAGACTACTCCATTTCCTGTTACACTCTAATTTGTCTACTTCCACCAATCCGATATGGGCTGAGAAGCTGGTCATTCGATTCTACTTATTTGTAGGGTACCGATTGTGACGTTTCGTTCATTACCACACTTTGTTTCGATATCTTTTAAGTTTTCGGCATTTTGGCACTTTAACTAGTTTAAAGATTTTGTTTTATTGGATTTTTGTGTCCTGTGTATAACTGATTTTATATTTTAAGCTTCTTCAGTTTGTTGTCTTCTTTACAAAAACAAGTATTGAATCATCCTATTCTGTGTTGAATTGGTCGAAACTTGATATCTGCTTTTTACAGAAACGTCTAGAATTCCCAACTTACCAGTACATAATATTCAATAAAATAATATTGAAATTTTATGATTATTAGAATTATGCATTCCGATTTCCATTCTGGTCACAGGAAATACATTAGTAAACACCAGTAGTCGTTAATCGATGCACTGTTGTGAATTTTGCATCAAATGTGGAGACCATTTTCTTATTACGTTTCAGATATGTTCATTTGTTCTACGTTATTTTTATTACCATGAATGAGTCACTTTGGTCCATAGACTCATCGTTACTTTCTGATTCGGATCCCGACATCCTGCGTGTTATGTCTTACGACTTTCCAGTGTTTTAGCTCTGACTTCTGTCTTTGTCCTGCTGTCTTTCGAACCACCGGCTCTTTTGGCGGGGGGTTCACAAAGATGTCAATAAAAACAATACAAAGTTAAATAAACAAAATCATATCATTTTATAAGATTTTATTATAAATGTAAGGGAAATTGCTTAAAAAATACAATTTCAAACGATGAATGGGAAGATTTACGATATATTTTGACGGAAAATAACGAAATAGAACGGGAATATAAAGGGAAATAACTCATACAAAGCATTAAAGGTAGCACACCACCTGGTCCAGTATCAAGTTCAATTTGTGGTATAGCTTTTTAGGGATAAAGGTTTATGTATCAAAAATTCCATAAAGATAGTTTTGTATGTTATTTTTACTGGTTTAAAAAATCCTATGTAATTGGTAATTTATTTGAGATCATCTATATTGTAGGAACACAAGTCTTACATGTAGGTATACCATTTCATTGATAAAAAAGTCAAAAACAAATATTTCTTAAACTCAGATTGAGGCGGTCACATATTGTTGGTGAATTAATTTGAAACCTGACTGGAAGTAAAATATTGTTGTCACAATTTATCTGTCATTTGTCTTATATTTTACTACTATAAGGATCTTGTGGTAGTTGTATTTTGATGATCGTTATATCGAAGGTATGTAATCTTGTATTTCATTGGAAATGCAAATTAACTGATACAGATGTATTTAAAAAAAATGTATATGGATAAATCTATCAGAAGTAATATGGTGTTTTTTTAGCTCATACATTCTTCATGAGTAAAACCAAGTATGGTAAAAAGGTATACGTGAAAGCATTAGTAAGACACAGCACATGTGGTGTATGTAAATGGTGGGAGAGGAATAGACGTGGCCAACCTGTTAGGGCACACATATGTGTCCATTCTCATTCCGGAAGTGCTCGGTTGATGGAAAGTGCTAGTGGTGTACTGGGTGTAAAACAGCTATCAGAAGAGGGAACACCAGTAGAGTATCTTGAAGGAGATGGAGGTAATACTATGATAGCTCGAATAAGAAATGATCTGAACTTGACAATGAAAAAACGATTTGATCAAAATCACATTGTAAAGAATGTTGGAAAACATCTATATGCATTGCATGCTGAAAAGGGTATCAATCTTAGTAAAATTGTGATATTACATATCCAGAAGTGCTTGAAGTATGCCTTTGCTAGGAATCAAGGAGATAAAGATGGCCGAGAAGAAAATTTGAAAGCACGTATACCATATCAATTCGGCGATCACTCCTTGTGCGTTTCTAGATTTTGTGGATTCAAACGACAACCTGGTAAACTCTATACTAACAGAAGTTTACTCTACAAGACGGCGCTAAAGGACGAGAATCTCCATGCACGACCGAATAGCATATTCAACCCAATTATTGCCAATGCTGAGCAGTATATAGTTTTGGGCTCAAGTCAGCAGTGGGGGCATACTAACCGGGAAGTCACTCTGAGGGCTCCAAAATCACTACACTATGGCAATTCAGAATCCCTCGACTACCGTGTACATGCTACATCTGCTTTTATCAATGAAGGAAGAAAATACATCTCACAGGAGTCTTGTCCCTAAAAATTGGTTGACTCAATTACTTTTGTATGTATTGTTATGTTCAAAATGTTCAAATGTTTTTTTAGTTTTGTTTATTTTATTTTTTGTATTTTCTGTTTTTACCTTTTTCTTTGAACAGATAACCAATATGCCATGATGCAGCTATTATTTGCTTTATAAGTGAGTTAATTTTCATGACCATTGCACATTTATCCTGCAACAAGCCCAGGGAGCCGACACATAAACACTGACTCAAAGTAGGGGATTCTATGGAATTGTAATATATATAGGTGTGGGCTTATTACCAGGCATGGGCTTATTGCCGGATTTATAAGTAATACTAACAGATTTCAGCATTTTTCTACTAATACATTACAGTTTATCTGATCTTACAGTACATAACTTTATTTCTAACTTATCTTTAGCTCGAGTTCCATCGCTGCTTATAGATGTATGCAGCATTTGATAGAGTTCTATCTAGCAAATGTACATTTTCACAGTATATAAATAGGTCTCCCTATTTGAGAATGCTTGTGTGCTGGAGATGTCATTTTCTGTTTTGTAGTCGTACCATGCTCAAATGACAACCTTTTATGATACAATGTATGAATTAGGAGACTATATTTAATCTATTATCTCCTCAAAGGTGAATACTTCAGCTGGCATATCTCCTGGGAAATATATTGCCCAGTGTGCTGAAAAGCAGATGCGACATAGGAAATAAATGCAAGCTAGAGCTGAACAACCACCTACAAAACACAGGCGTTTGATATTGAAGCAGGAGCGAGTCACTACTCAAGGAGCTCATGAGTCTTTAGAGGGAGTCTCGTACCAATCTGGTGAGTATTTCATTTGCAGTTATAAGTTGTCCAGCAACCTAAACAATCTGCTTGTAAACCTAACCGTAATATTGTCTTGCATATGAGTCTGTTGATGAGTAATTCACATTTTACTTGAAGTGTGTTTTTTTAAATTCTTTACTTCATTTTATAGGCATTGGTCATGAATCAAATGTTGGCATTGAGAAGTTACCTGATGCTGTTCCACGTGGTCATTTCAAAGCTGTCAAACTGCCATCAAGTGAAGAACCTACATTTATATCATTTGACTTGGAAACTACTGATCTGAGTAAGCAAAAAATCACATTTGATACTGGACATGTGTTTTGATTTTACCATATGATCCTGTTATTATGCAGGAAAAAGAAAGTATATAATTTTCTGATCAGCTTGTTATTATTTTGAAAATGTGTTATTTACTTTGGTTTGAGGATCATGATAAACAGACTCAAGTACTTTTTGATGCCTATTTCATACTATGTTTAGTTTGTACACATCAAGACAGGCCGCTCTGATACAAATATATCCATTATTAAGGATGATTGAATATTGTGCACTATATCCTCTTACAAAAATGTTTTTGTTTTGTTAAGTTTTTTGTATTCTTTAACATGCCGTTTTTCTTTTAGTTCGTGGGAGACTGATGCCCCATCTTATACAGATAGCAGCGGCTGACCTTCAATCTGGCAGATAATTCAACACCTATGTTCTTTCTAAGGTGCCTCTTACTCCACAACAGATAACAGGAATTGTTGTGAATGGTTCTGGCAGCATGACTGTGAATGGTACACAAGGTCAACCAGCAACCAGCCATTCTGCAATCATCAAGCCCTGCGAATGGTTAGAACGGTTTCATCAGGTTTTTCTTGTTGCACACAATGGAAGAAAGTTTGACTTTCCTGTATTTTTGTCGTGTTTGATGAGAATTGGACTTGTTGACAAATTTTGCACATGTGTGTCAGGGTTGATTGATGGTCTACCTGTGTTCAAGGAATGTTTTCTTAACCAATCCTCGTACAAGCAAAAGGAATTACCAAGAATTCTTCTAAACTTGGGCTATGATGCACATAATGCTTTAGAGGATGTCACGGTGTTAGGGAAACTTGTTTCCCATACCAAGCTGCATGGCTCTGAGCTTGTTACCTTCAGCTTTTCTCCACCAGCTGTCCACAGATCTCTGTCAAAAATATCCCCTCTTTACATCCTCTGGGGAGGGAGGGGGGG